CATGGAAAGCTGCACTTGGTCTGCTGGGGATGTTTGTTCAGAGGTCACATTGCTTTCAATTTTAATACCAAAATTCTTGCTAGTTAGTAACACTTGACCTTGTTTACCTTAACACAGCTTTTCTCCTTCATCTTTACTTTATTGCTTTTACTTAACAGCTTTACTTTGGATGATGTTACAAACATTTCTGTCCAAAATAAACTCCACTAATTCTGTATTTAGCCAACAGTGATAACAGTGCCTGCAGAGCTACACACACTATCATGATGTGATACAACACTATGGCAAGAGAGTGATGCTCTAAGAAAACATCACAGAAAAAAATGAACAAAACCCCCACCAACCACTCTGTCTGCTAAAAATAATTTCCTTGAAGACTTCTATGGAGAACATTACTTAATCATAAAGTGTTCAATAAATGAAATAATAGCACAAAGTACAGTAGGCTGCTTAAAGCAGAATGGAACTGCACATCCTCCTTACACCTGTGTCTAGGAGACAGTCCAGCAGAATTTACTTGAAAGTCTTTTTCAAATCTATTTTAAAAATTCCCCACTCATGTTCCAAATGACATGACAGCTTCACCATCCCCTACCAAGCAGGGCTGCAGTGGAGCTCCTGACCCTTGAAGTGGCAAGCAGGAACAGAAAATAGCCATCACACAGAGCCATTTTCCTTTAAGGGATTGCACATCTCTTCTAATACTAACAGTAACTGAGAGAGAGCCAAAGCAGGAGTAACTTCTCCATTTTATCACTTTCTCAATTCCCACTTGAAAAAAAACAAAACTCTGTACCTATAGAACAGTTTATTAAGGCTCATTCAGCACTTCACCAATTGTAGTTTCTGGCATTTAGTTACAAATTCCTACCAGTTCAGTGATCTAGAAAATGTTGATTATAGCAGTGAGCTAGGCATTGCTCTAAACACATTATTTTTAGTGGCTAGTATCAGGCTTGTGTTTGTACAGGACTGTAATGAGGATTTTAATCTGGTTTTATTCCACCCCTCTTTTTTTATTATTTATACAGCCTATTAATAAACAGCCAACATAAAGAAAATAAAGATCAGTCATGCTGTAAATAAAAAACTCATAAAAGACAAACAGTACACAAGTGAAAGAGTCTAAGAAACAACTTCCAAAGGGCATAAAAGCACCATAACACTGTATTTTCAAAGAAATTAGGGCTACCAACAGGATAACAGAATCTAACAGCACAACAGATCCAACGTTAATAAAATCCCAAAAACCACCAACCAAACAAAAACCAGGAAAAAAAAAGCGTTCAGAGAAGATAAGGCTCAGATGTTCACAAACAAAGTTTAGAAAGATTCCCATGTCAGAAAAGCTTCACAGGGGACACCCAAGAATTATTTTCTGAAGTTAAAGCCCTGACAGAAGTGGTTAGAGGACAATTGTAAAAAACAAACCAACAAACACACACAAAACCCAAACTCCCACTCTCTGCCCCCAAAAAGCAGGACTTTGCCAAGTTCAGATGATGCCCACAAAAGAAACTGAAGGATGAAACAACTGCAGTATTAAATGTGATGTGCATTGTCTTGATTTTTAACACATTATTACCAGAGGGCCTGGAGATTCCCAAGAGGAGCCAGCTCTGTGAAAAGCCCCTGGAGGAAATCAGTTGATGCCATGGTCTCATCAGCCTGGGGTCTGTGTGAGCAAGGCAGGGATCACCCAGCACAGCTGATCCACAGGGAGAGCTCCAGCTTCTCAAATCACAGCTCAGCATTTCTGGGGGTCTGGTTTTGGACACAGATTGACTCAGAGTTGGGCATTACCATGCAGGAATGAGAATCTGGCATCATGATTGAAAGCACTATGGAAATGCCAAATCTCTGCTCTGCAGCAGTGAAAAAGCAAAAACAACTGCAAGGAACTACTGGCAATGGAGCACAGGGCTGAAATCATTATTGCCAGCATTTTAACTTCCAGCATAAGGGAACAGGAAGGAAAGGGAGAAGATGATGACATTTATGAAAGGCAACTGAACCCAAAAACTCTGCCCCCAGCCCAGGGAAGCACAAAGCTGTGAATTACTGCAAACCAAGTGAGTCTTCTGGGAGGCAACTGCCCTGCTCCTCCACCTCAGTGCTATTGATCAGCCACAGGGACACGACACTGGCAAAAAGAACCTTGGCCTAACCTGGAGGTTTTGTCATTTCCTCTCCCTCATTTTTTTTTCCAGAGCAGGAACCTTAAAGATTGCATTGCAACTCCATATGAAGGAAAAAGATAGCAATGATATCTTAGGTGATCCAAGTCAACATCCACTGAAACCAGGAGAAGGAACCCACAGGAAATGGATTTAATCTAAAACCACCGAGACCCAAATTTCAACCCTCTCTGAGGTCAGCACTGATGTGCCCTTGGCTTCAGTGCTGCAGGATGATGCCTACAGTGAGCCACTCATGAACCACTCATAAATTCATCAACCCTTGCACATAAATTGGGATAATTGTAATTTACCAGCACCCAGAGCAGGAGAACAGCAAACCACACATTGGGAATCTGGGGCAAAGCTCCATTAATTCTGTTTTGACAAATGAATGAGACAACACAATTAGATGGGGAGAAGAAAAAACCCCAGAGATCAAGCAATGTTGTTGCTGCCTCATGCAGTGAGAACAATCACAAGCTCATCTCCCCAGTTCATGTGGGTGTCAGTCTGATACCTACACATAGAACAGGCACAAGGTTTCCAACCCTGGGCAGTATTTACTGAAAATGTTTAACTAATAGCTGCATTCTTGTTCAGATCCAGAGGGGCAAACCCTGAAATATAATACATTTTTAAAAATACAGAAGAGATGCTTATTATTAAAAGAGTGAAAGAGAAGTAATTCTGTAAATTTATGGCAACCTGAAATCTAAGAAAGGAATCTGTCCCAGAAGATGTTTAACACACCAGGTGCATCTTGGGAGTCACTTAAGAGAAAATAACTTAGGAGACCATCAGTATTATGGAATGCAGTCACTAACAGAAGAGTGTATGGACACATGTATTTCAGAAAGCCTCCTTTCATTTTAAAATGTTTCTAATAAACCAAAAAGATAAAATAACTTAGTGGAAATAGGGAAAATTAATTGGTGAAAAAACAGTTCAATGTGATCAACAGAAAAGTTCCATTCTTCTATCCTGTTTGCCTCAGCAGGGCTCCATCCCAGTGTTCTCATCAGGGAGTCCCTGGGGAGCCCCAAGAGCAAAGCAGAAATGAGTCTGGTCCAAAGGACACTGGAAATGAGTGAGTGAAAGTCCCTGTGCAGCCACAGAGCTCATGGCTGCAGGTACCAAAGAGCACAGCAAACCTTTTCCAGACACTGTCAAACAAATCTCACCATTCAGCTCCTTTGGTTACAGCCAAAACCCAAACATGCCCCATGAAAGGATTAAAATGGCACTGCCCGTGAAAAATTAATGCAACACGTTAAGAATATCAACCCAAAATGTGGATTTTATACAGGATGAAACAGTTTACAGGAGATGTCAGGGATTCCCTTCCTCCTCTTGCACTGAACAGTCACACAGCAACAGGAGACTTGGAAAAACATTCCTCCTCTTTAGGTGGGAACTCACACAGAAAAAAGTTCTGCTCCCTAGAACTGCAGTTAAATGAACATCACAAACATTTTACATAGAGAAAAGTGAAAATTAACTGGTCCTTGAACCAGCCCCATCCACAGGCACCCCAGGGCTTTGTGACTGTCCCACTGCTCACTGCTGTGGGACCTCCAGCCGTGCCACACCATAAATCCTGACATTTCTGCCTTACACAAAGCACAGTGTGCTGATACTGGCAACAGAAAAAAAATCAAAGTTAGTTTTAAATGCCTTTTTTCTTTTAGCTGCTTGCAATCGTTCCTGTGGTAAAATATTTAGCTCCTCCTTCTGTTGAAACTAAGTGTTTCACTTAGCTGAAACACTGAGAAGGATTCCATTTCCATTCCCATTCTTTTTGGGTCAGTTCTTTATGAAATTAGTTTTAAATTATTTTTTCTTGGATATTGGATTTGTTATTAAATATTATCTGAAGCACAAGCACTTATGTGATTCCCTTCTGAAAAACAGTTTATGTACTGAGTATAAAAAACACATTTGGACTGTTCCAAGCACAAGCAATAAATGTTTAACATGCAAATTCACTCACATGCAATATGCAAGAACCTTATTTTTGGCAGGTAGTTACAAACACTACCCTACCAACTGTACAGTTACCTTCACAGTTTTCTCAATCAAGTCTAAAATTCCTAAATACAGCAATACATTTTTTTTTTCTTTTAACAACCAATTTTCCAAAACTCAATTTACAAGATCTCCAGTCTACTTTTTACCTCCCTCAGTGGTTTCAGCAAAGATTAAGGACAATCAATTCTTTCCAAGCTCTCTCCTGGAGCTTGTGTCTGTTACCTCATTTCCTGGCTCCTATGAAGCGAGACAAGATTTTGGTGAAAACTATCATCATAACATTTACATTTTCAAATACTGACTTCAGCTCCTCAAAAATAGTAATGAGCTCCTTGGCATATAAGACTGAAATTCCTCCATCACTCTCTTTTCTTCAAGTGGTCATGCAATTGAGAAGGGCTTTTAGAAATGTTCCTGGATAGTTTTCCAACTCCCCCAAGCAAGCATCTCTTCTCTCTTTCACAATTCCCAGTGACATATTTCACAAAACACTCCAAGCTTTCAGACACTGTCAGGGTATTTATCTCCATCCTTGTTCATCTCTGCTGGCTCTGTTAAGCCTCTCCCTTTCACACTCACTCAAACCACACTACATAACATACAGCACCACATCTTAAATTTAAACAAAAAAGATAACAAAAAATTGTTTTCCTTAGCTTCATCATTCAGGCAGACTTTGCAATCAATTAAAAATCACATCTTCATTAAAGACCAGATTAGATTTGAGGTCAAGGACTGCACATTATTTGAAGCCACACAAAAGAACTTTATTGATTTAATATAAAAACTTACCCACTTGGCAATTGGACACCCCTGAGAGCTTTTTCCTTCCTTTCCTGTATAAACCACCACCTCTATTCTTACAGCACTTCCTTTTGCTCCATACCTGCATTAAAAAAAAGTTCACGAGTAAAACAAACTACTGCAGACCACTTTGAAAGAGGAAACATTTTCAATAAAAGATTAATGAACACCTTACAAATGAGTACTGGCAAAAGTTGAGCAAAATAAAGCTAAACACAGCACTCCATTTCTCAGAGCTCTACTTCTTCCCTGTTTAGACAGTCAAAAATACAATGAGCATTAAAAGTTGAATTTTATTTTCCTCACCTGTTCTCCATAATTTCTCTCACAGCAGCAACACTTGGTCCTGTCCCCAGGTGTGTGTAATAGGGGCCTTCATCTTTTTCTATAATTTGCTCTGTAAGCAGGTAAAGAAAACTATGTTGGCACATCCAAAATTCATTTACCCCATTAAAAGTAAACTCAGAAACAGTTTATGGAAATGCCTTCCAAATTAAATTAGAACACAAAGTTTGACCCTGATATATCATGAATCAAAAGTATGACAGGCTTTTTTCTTCAGACACTTTGAAATTATTTTATGTTTATTTCCTCCAATGATTCTGCTAGCATTTTTTAATGCTATAAAGTAAAACCTTAATCATAGTGATATTTTGCATTCTTTAAAATTTTCTTAAGAGGAGCTGGCATGTATTGACTAGTAAAATTCCCAATACCCTTGTTGGTAGGAACATTATTAATTCATTTTAGACAAGCAGGAACTGAGGGGAATAAAATAAATTCATTGATAGTTAATTTCTGTTCTACAGAACAGAAAACATAACTCAGGCCTCTTAACAAGCATTCTGTTGGTTCAGAACATGAAAACCAAGGTGAAATTATCTGGCTGCAGATGATTTGTTGTGAGGCTCTGACCTCCCTTTCCTCCAGGTTTAAAATGAAGTGGAGGATTTAATCCTGCCAGCTGCAGTACAAAAAATACTCAATTCTGCTGTGCTCTGCAGACCCAAAGAACACCAAGAAAAGTTACAAAGAGGGGAAAGATAATTTCTTCTAATGGTGAAACACTGATTCTTGTGCAACAGCTGTCACATACACGAGCACACCTCCAATTGAAACGTACAGGCAAAAGTTAGCAAAGCCACTTACCAACACAGTCACAAGTTGGCAATTCAGATTGTCCTTTTTTGGTAGGTGTGTCTATTAAATTTTTTGTAGGGGTATCAAGAAACTTCATGGGTGATTCAAGGAAACTGCTGAGCGTGTTTTTTGCTGGGGAACACCCTGAGTCGCCTGTGCTCTGGGCGTGGTCAGTACCCAAACTGGTTGATGTCAGAGCGGTCACCTCAGCCACACACTCCACATTCCTGAGAGCTTCAGCAGCACCTGGTACCTGGGCCCCAGCACAGGGAACAGGCAGCACCTGGGACTTCGGATCTACCTCTTGTTTGGCCTGCTGCACACAGCCTTTGTTTTCACTACACATTTCGTTAGCTCTCAGGTTAGACTGCTTAAAAGTTGGTGGCAAAGGATGTGCCTGACTGACATTTGCTGTTTGCTGTACCTGAGAATTACATTTTTCTGTAAACATCTGGAGGTTTTCAGTTGGTCTTTTCAACAAGGATGCAGTTTTCAGCTGTGAACCAGCCAGAGGATTACGGGAGGACAGGTCGCTGTGCTGGCTACGTGCAATAACTTCATTTTTCAGTGGATCAGTGCCTAGTGGGTCACTGGAGCCTGCAGTTTTCACTTGCTCATTCACCACTTCACAGCCAAACAACCTGTCTTTTTTTTTCTCCTGTGGTGCCTCAGGTAAACACCTGTGGAATTTTATCTGTGCTTGTGGGAGAAATAATCTCGTTTTTTCTTGTGATGCTAAAGTATTTTGACTGAGTGCCCTCTGTACTTTGGTTCTTGGAGATTTCTTTTCAGATGGAGCTGTCCTGGAGTCCTGTGGCATGGTTTGACCAAGCTTGTGCAGTTTTGATGATATCCAAATGTCCTGCAATTCGCTATGCTGGCATGACAACAGCTCTAGCTGGTTTTGATTATTTTGTTGATAGCGTGCTTCTTGAGGCTTCTTTTTGTGTCTTGGTTTCCATGGCACACCATTTCCTTTCTTATTTGTTGCCTGCTTTTGCTTTAACAGTAAGGAATTATAATTATGCCTAAACAATACAGATTCTTTTTTCTGCAACACATCTTGGTTATATTTTGGTGGCCTCTCGTGTGATATTAGATTAAGCAGTGATGCCTTTATATCGTTCTTGTGCTCTTGATTTGTCTGGTTTGATTCAATCAGTGCTGCTAATTGAGTTAGCTGTGCAGCTACATCCTCTTCGTCCTGGCTGTGAATTCCTTCTTTAATCAAAGAACTGCCTTCCAATTTCACATCATTACATGTTGGCTTTTGCTCTAACTGGCCAGGAGCTTCCAAGTTGTTCCTTATTTGCTGGACATCACATGCAGCACTGCAATACCCTGCGAGGGTGACTGGCTCATGAGCACAACTTTTGCTGGGATCACATCCTGAACACGATGCTGCATGAGATGTTAAGTCAGATAAAGTTTTGGTATCTCTTGAGGAGAACTGTAATTTCTGCATCTCCTCAGCTGGACTGGCAGGTTTATCACACAATTCAGACACTGAACTTTGGCCATTGTATAACACTGCCTTATTAGGGAGCTGCTTCTGGGAGTGAGCACAGTGAGCCAAGAGCTGTTGCTCATTCTGTAAGTAAGTGTCTTTGATTTCCTGTAATGCAGAGGATGTAAAGGAGGGTGAGATATCCCTTTTAAAACTATGGAGTGAGTTGGAAGTTGTCTCTCCTGTACATTCAGTACTTTCAGTTTTAGCTGGTGAAGTTGTTTCTAAGGGAGCTTCAGACAACTGTGTTAAAGCTTCAATAGCTACAACCTGCTCCAGAGTTAAATTTCTGGTTTTAATCAGGGACAAGAAAGTGGGCTGGAGTGCAGAATTCTCAGGCTGTGTCTCCACATTTGGTACTCTGAAGCCATCCTTCCCTGCCTGCAGCTCCTCTTCAGGCAGCTGAGGACAACAAAAGCTTTCTTGCACATCCAAGCTGGAACCTGGCTGCAAAACTGACTTATCAGAATACTCAGAGGTGCTGCAGGTGCAGTTTTCCTCTTTCATTAAAACATTCCCTTGCTTTTCTGGGTGAACACAGCCAGGGCCACTGGTGTGAGTGCTTATTATGTTATTCAGATTGCTCCCCTTCGGCCATTGCATGTGGGAGTTGCTTGTCAAATCTGTCCTTTCCTCTGCAGATTCATTTTTCAGTGAAGCAACTGCATCTGGTGGTGAATAATGCAGGGTTTTTATGCCATTTTTGATGGCGTGCACCATGGATTTTTTTGGCTCAGTGAAGTGGCTGGGAGAGGCTGCTCTTTCAGCGTGGTCAGCTGGTTTCAAGTGTGCAGTGCCTGGCACAGCTCCGTGGATGTCACCGTTGACGTGGACACCAAAGGATGGCTTCTCGTTGTGTGCCCACTTCTCTGCTTCTAAGCCAGTCATTTTCTCCTTCTCCTTGGACTGCACATTTTCTATGGGCACTGCTTGGCTTGTCTTCACCCTGTATTTTTCACCATGACCACATATACTGCATTCCATGAGTTCTGGTCTGCAGCCATTTACTGCTTTGTTTTCTAAATTTGCCTATAAAACAATAATAAGAAAACTCTTGTTGTAACAGCTGTTCAAAGCACATTAAAAATAAGAAGCTTCATATTTACAGCAATTAATCCTTACTTTGAAAGATATGAGGAATATCCTAATTAGGCACAGACATTGGAAAATAAACAAAACAGGAAGTTATAAAATAATCTGAAGGCTGAAGATCCTATCCATATTTATAGCTACTTTTCCCCACTGCTGAGGGCCAGAGGAAGAAATTGGGTAAACGTGGGGGTGGGAGACTAATGAAATGAACAGACAGATAAAGGATGTTAACATTCAGAATTAGATGGAAGGATTCAATTTTGAATTAATTTGCATGATCAGACTAAAAAAAAAAAAAGGTAAAAAACTTATGTTAAAAGCAAGACTGAAATCCAAAGGATTGTACCACAAAGTTCAGCAGTAATTTGGGATAATTACATTCATTTTTGGCCAGACCAATAAACTGGCTTAACCAATACACCACTTGGTTGGACACTCTAGCTAATCCTGAAAACCAGCCATTCTTGCTTCAAGTCCTTAAATAATTACAAACTCTAAGCACAAATGAACAGAAAGCCAATTTATATCAGCTCACTTGGAAGTTACTTCTTTAAACAGTTGTTTAGCTTCTGTATTTAGATGGAAATTTCCAGGTTTCTCAACAGTCTCTCATATAAGCCATTCAAAACTGTATTTTTGTAAATGCTACATCTCAGTATTTTGTTAAATATGTTCTTCATCTTCACTGATATTATACAGTTCATGTGGTTGAAGCAATGTCAAAATCTAGACAGAGTTAGAATATACTGGGAAGAATAAATATGGACCTTAAGACAGTAGTATGGATATGAAGGAGTTATGCAAGCAAAAAGAAAACTAATTAAGGCAGAAATACTAATTAAGGCAGGAATCCAATTTTTCTTATGCTATTCAAATTTTATTTCTATTAAATTTCCTTTTATAAAATAATTTTAAATCACAGTAGATAGTGCTGTTCCTTTATCTGATTGCAACACTGAAGAGTTCCTCAATTCCCTGTAACCTTAAGCTGTACTTAAAAGAAAAGCAGGAGTAATTTCCAATCAGGCATCAGCAACACGAGGGGCTAATTAACCCAGCAGTGCCCAGAAAATCCCACCCAGCAGGAACCTTTCAGTTAACTCAGAGATGGTTCTGTGCTCACACCAACAAAGGGTATGGGCTTCTGACAAAGATCAGGACAAGAAATGCAAAATAGATTAATGATTAATTATAACCATGGAGATGGAATTGCCACAAACCCCCAGGCAAAAGAAGGCAGCTCCATCTGGAGCTCAGCAGTCACCTTGCAGGAAAAAACACAAACCCAGGAATCCATAGCATGTCCTAGATGTTCTGAGAGGCACCATCACTTCTCATGGAAATGTTATGGAAAAACATGTCCAGCCTGCAGATATTGCACACACAAAGATTCCTTATTTAATGTCTTTTCACTACACACAGATCCTGACCCATGGCCAGTGAGCTGGAGCTCCTCTGGATCCTGGTGATTTTCAGGGAATGATTCCCAGAGCCAGGGGGCCACTGAGCATTTTCTAAAGGATCCACAAAAGCTGAGCAGGTTCCACCATTCTATAGCTAGCAGGGGTAAATGCAGAAATGTATTTAAATCACACAGGTATCTGTAACTGTACCAGAAATTATTTTAAGGGTCCACCAAGAAAGAGTTAAACCCCACAATTCTTTCCCTCACAAAAGCAATTACCTTAACTTCAGAAACAAGTAGAATTGTTGTTCTTTCTTAGGCAAAAGCACATCTAATATCCCTACCAAATCAAAATACTCCCAACCATGTTAAAATTTTTATTAAAAATTATTTAATCAGAAAATCAGTAGGCTAAGGACATAACATCAAATAGATGAAAACTATTGCCCCATCAATTGCACATTTTCAACACAAAACTACATCTTGTATTCCATTCATCATTATAAGAATTGTTCACTACATTAAGAAACCTAATAACTTATGTCTGGTAATTTGGGAGCAATAAGAGGCTTCATCCACAATTAGGAGAGATGAGAAGATCTGACACAGAATTCACTGACAGCACTTAGTACAAGTGTCACCACAGTTCCTCCCAACCAGACTGCTCCTAAATAAAATACTTCATCTGATCAAAAAGCACTGCTATGCTCAAAAATACTCAGGATATTCCCTAATCTGCTAGTACTGCACAGGTACAGTGCTGTGTCCCTACAGAACTCCAGGGACCCCAGCAACAAAGGTGGAATTGCTTTAAAAATAAAATATTCTTCATAATTCATGTTTTCCACTAACATTACTCACATGCAATGAGGAAGGAAAAAACCCCAGATGAATCATATCACTGGCATGAGTTAGTTAATATTCTCTTTTTCCACATGAAGATAAAATATTTTCATAAAATCAGATGTTATTGTTTTAATCAAACTCCGCCTTTCAAGCACTGTGTTGCTGAATCTCCTATTACTGAACTGCAGTGGATCCTAAAAGACAGATTTTCTTTTCCCTCACAAACAGAAAATGCCACTGGATAGTCTGTTAGCACATGAAATTAATATTTCCCACCACAAAGAGAAATGCAGACACTACCAGGGACAGAGCTCATTTGATTCTTCCCCTCAACCTAGGAACAATTCATCTTCAAGTCCTGAACCTGCATGTAAGAAACCCAGGGAAAACCACAGACAAGGATATCACAACCCCAAGCAACACTGTTAGCATTCACAGGAGTTAAACACATAAATCAGATCTGATCAGTACCCAAGGCTTTTACACAAATGCAATGAAAAGCTGAAGAATAAAGCAGATCAATACTTGTAATTTCCCCTCTCTCATTGTCTGCCAGGAGACACGAGCCACTAACAAATCCTGCTCAGGCTCTGCAGCAGTTTGTGCTGTTAGGACAGGAACCACAGAGCCTGCTGTGGCCATTGCTGTGTTACTTAAACTTCAACCAAAGACTATCTCATATATACACACACAGGAATTAATTCTGTGAGCTAATGCTTCCAGCACACACGAACAGGCAGTTACAGCAAATCATTTGACATTCTGAAGAGTCAGACTTTCTATTAACTTCTCCTTTAACACGTGATGCCCCGAGGTAATGCAGAATTCACCAACTCCCAATTAAAACGTAATGCTTAAGCTGCCCCAAAGATATTTCCACATCCACATGAGCAGTGAGCAAGCCATCAATTTGTGTCTCTCATTTCAAACCTCTACAGGTAGTAACAACACACACTGTACTAAAGGACACCACCAGGATCAATTACTCTCATAAACAAGAATTTTTCTTGTAGGGACACGATGTAAGGACGTGATGCTCTGTCCAACTACTGATAAAATGGCTCTACAAGCAAGTCTTGATGAGTAACACAACAACTAATGCCACATCCCCTACCCAGCCCTCCCTGTAAGATTCTGCCCAGGTCCCACACGAATATAGTGCCCAGCAGATCAATCAATACTTGCACCCCCTGCTTGTGCCAAAACTGAGCTGACCCAAACCACAGATCTTCCAAAGTCACAACAATCATCAGCACTAAAGGAGGAGTGGGTGAGAAGCACCTGCAAGCTGCAGTGCCATGGCTAAGCCTGGATCCTGCTGCAGTGTCTGCAGCCACACAGCCAGCCCCACATGTCCCTCCAAGCTGGGACAGAGCTGGCAGCTCCTCAGAGATCCAAAACCACGATATAAGTGTTGTTTCAGAAAAACTGTTTGGGAAAGACCCCAAATGTTCTTCATCTAACATTTAAACAGTGTTTGGTTCACGGTCTGATTGTCAGGTATTATTGCCTCACCAAGTGACAAAAAAGCACAAGCAATTTACTCCTCTGTCATTTATTCCTGCTCTCTGCTGGATGTGCAGAAATTCAGCTGAATCAAGGCCTTGCACTGGACAGGACCAACATCCAGGGATAAGGACACAGACATGGATAGGACAGGCATCAGGGAGGCAGAGCACAGGGGTGGAGAAAAAGTTGCTTATGCTGAGTGTAAGTAGGAAACCATGCACTGGTTAGAACAGAGACATATAAGGTGGGATGCTGTGGAAGCTGTATGTCACCTCCTGAATACAGCTACGTTTTCTTCTTAGATTTTTTTTTCCACTAAAGGCAGACACAGTAATACAACTAAGAATGAACTTCTATTTCAAACCACATGACATGTTTGACTACTGCAATAATGCACACGTGCTGTAGGTTGCTGCCCTGAGCAGGGTGTCCAAGCAGGCTCCCAAAAGAGAGGACAGCAGAGTATTCCCCATCAATCTCACCACAGGCACAAAGCAGGCACCAGCACATGGCATAACTGTGGACATGAAGGAGCTTCTCAGGATACCACACTCCTACAGTGCCTCAGCTAAGGCACGTTTTCTATAGGTCTCAATGCACAGGAACAGATTGGGGACCTTTGTCAATGTAACACAGCCTGAATGTACAAGATGTTTTATTCCTCAAGAGAGCAGCACTCACAGATGGCATTGAGGGACAGGACAGGACTTGGCAAAACGATGCTGACAAGTTTTACCACAAAAACTGGTTTATACAGAAACTCAGAGGAACAAGAGGTTCTGCAAATCTGGAGAAAGGAACCTGAGCTGGGGCACCACATTCAGGCTTTCCTGGAGGTATCCCCCTCACTTCCAACTTCCCTGACTATCAAACCACCCAGTCCCCAACTTGAGCATCACAGCAGGTAGCATTTCACACTGATCTGACTACAGTTGAAAAGTCTGCTCTAGTTGCTGGTTGCCTTTTTTTCCCATATGTCTTCTTTGCTGTTGTGGTTACATTCTCCAAGCTACAGCTTAGCTCTCAGTTTCATCTCCATTTAATCTACATTTATATCCTCTTTGCCATCTTCTTCAAACACCAGCCAATCTTCCCACTAGAAAAACTCTTTATTATTTCTTTCCAGGAGGAATTAGTACATTTTGGCCTCCAAGTCTTTACACCTTTGTTCTTTTCC